ATTGGCCCTCAGGGTTGAGGTGGCACCACAGGCGTGCGCCACCACACCTGGCTAATTTTTTGTATTTTTTGGTAGAAACGGGGCTTCACCATGTTAGCCAGTATGGTCTCGATCTCTTGACCTCGTGTTCCACCCACCTCGGCCTCCCGAAGTGCTGGTATTGCAGGTGTGAGCCACCGTGCCCGGCCCATTATCCCCATTTTTAAGCCACTGAGGCTCAGAAAGATGAAGTGAGTCGGTCAGGGTCCCACTGTTAGTGGAACTGAGATTCAAACCAGGTTTGACAGCAAAGTCTGCCCTATTTTTGGCAGCTGGGATAATGTGGTTAAAAGGAGGTGATGTCTACCTGAGTGTTGCAGGCAGATCAGATAACACAGGGAGAGAGAGCTGGGACTTTCCTGGCACAGAAAACAGCATATGCGAAGTCCACAGCCGCAACTGGTTCAGAATTTGGCCGCCTGGGCCAATGGTTAGTGATGATGCAGCTGGCTCCAGGTGATGAAAGGCTTAGACTAGAGCGAAAGGATTTGGATTTTATGCTGTAGGTGTGGGGCCATAGGAGGATTCGAGAAGGGAGGCGGCCAGGCCAAAACTGTCCTTTAAAAAGATCCCTCTGGGTCAAAGTGGATGCTGAATTACAGAAGACCTTGGAGGCCTGAGACTCAAAAGGAGTGGCACAATGTACACTGGTGTCCTCTGCCTTTCCTGTAGCCTGGGCACAGGCTTTCCTGTAGGTTGGGCTCGCTCTGCTTGTGCAGGCACACACCCATCAAAGCCACTTACAGCCTCTGAGATTTTGCCACACTGAGGGGGATGGTGAGGGCAGGACTGGAGCGCTGAAGTTTGAGAAAGGACCCACCCCGGGGCTGGCCTGAGGCGGTGGACAAGATTATTGGAGCTGGCCTGGAGTCACCAGTTTAGCCACATGAGTTTCCCTGTCTTGGAGCTGAGGTCTATGAAATGGACAAGATCAGCCCAACCTTACAGTGTTGCTGTGGGTTTAATAATAAGCCTCGGCTGGGCGCGGTGGCTCAAGCCTGTAATCCCAGCACTTCTGGGAGGCCAGAGAGGCGGATCAGAGGTCAGGGAGTCGAGGACCATCCTGGCTAACCCAGTGAAACCCCATCTCTACTAAAAAATACAAAAAACTAGCGGGCGAGGTGGCGGGCGCCTGTAGTCCCAACTACTTGGGAGGCTGAGGCAGGAGAATGGCGTAAACCCGGGAGGTGGAGCTTGCAGTGAGCTGAGATCCAGCCACTGCACCCCAGCCTGGGCCACAGAGCGAGACTCCGCCTCAAAAAAAATAAAAATAAAAAAAAATAATAAGCCTCTGGTAGGGCCAGGCATGGTGGCTCACACCTGTAATTCTAGCAACTTTGGGAGGCCGAGGGGCGGATCACGAGGTCAGAATATCGAGACCATCATGACTATACATGAGCGAAACCCCATCTCTATTAAAAATTACAAAAAACATTAGCCGGGCGTGGTGGCACGCGCCTGTAGTCCAGCTACTCAGGAGGTTGAGGCAGGAGGACATCAACATGAACCTGGGAGCCAGAGGGTTGCAGTCTGAGCCCGAGATTGCGCCACTGGCAAACTGCCAGTCTGGGCAACAGAGTGAGAACGTCGCGTCTCCAAAAATAATAAGTAATAAGCCTCTGGAACGGACCAGGCAACAGTGGTGCTCAACGGCCTCATAATCCCAGCACTTTTGGGAGGCCAGGGGCGGATAAACCTGAGGTCGGGAGTTCAAGACCAGCCTGAAACCAACCATGGGAAACCGTCCCTCCTACGAAAAATACAAAATTAGCCAGGCATGGTGGTGCAGTGCCTATACATCCCAGCTACTGGGGAGGCTGAGGCAGAAGGATCGCTTGAACCCGGGAGGCGCGGACGGTTGGTAAGCAGCAAGATCGCACCATTTGCACTCCAGCCTGGGCAACAAGATGCAAAACTCCGTTTCAAAAAACAGAAAGAAAAGAAAATTGATGAAGCCAGCGGGCGCGATTGGCCTTTCATTGGGCCTATGAATCCCAGGCAACTTTGGGGGCTGAGGCGGGCAGGAGTACCTCAGGCAGGAGTTTGAGACCAGCCTGGCCAACATGGTGAACCCTGTCCTCTACTGAAAATACAAAACATTAGTCTGGTGTCGTGGCACGTACCTGGTAGTCCCCACCTCTTGGAGGCTGAGGCAGGAGAATCCGTTTGAATCTGGGAGGCAGAGAGTTGCAGTGAGGCCGAAATCCCCAGCTGCACTGCAGCCTGGGGTGAACACAGCGAGACTCTTCTCAAAAAAAAAAAAAAAAAAAATTGATGAAGGAGACCAGGTGCAGTGGCTCAACCTGTATCCCAGCATTTTTTGGTGAGGCTGAGGCAGGAGGATTGATTGAGGCCAGGAGTGTGAGACCAGCCTTGGCAATATAGTGACACCCTGTCTCTGCAAACAATTTAAAAGTTAGCTTGGTGAAGCGCACCTGTAGTCCCAGCTACTTGGGAAGCTGAGGTGGGAGGATCACTTGAGCCCAGGAGGTCAACATTGCAGTGAGGTATGATTGCACCACTGCACGCACTCCAGCCTGGGCAACAGAGCAAGACCCTGTATCTTTAAAAAAAAAGAAAAAAAAAATTGATGAAGGAATGAAAAGACGCCCTAAAGCAAATCATTTTCCCCTCCTGGCCCCAGCTTTCTTATCTGTGAAATGGGGATGACTGTGCCAACCTCACCACGTCACAAGGATGAATAAGGATGTTTTAAAAAGAAGAGGCAGATCATTTGCAACAACATGGATGGAACTGGAATTGTAAATGAAAAAAGCCAGGCACAGAAAGACAAATTTCTCACATTCTCACTTACTTGTGGGAGCTAAAAATTAAAACAATTGAATTCATGGAGATAGAGTAGAATGATGGTGACCACAGGCTGGCAAGGGTAGTGGTAGGGGAAAGTGGGTATGGCTAATGAGTACAAAAACATATTTTTATTTTATTTTTATTTATTCATTTTTTGAGATGGAGTCTCGCTCTATTGCCCAGACTGGAGTGTGGTGGCGCGGTCTCAGCTCACTGCGGCCTCTGCCTCCCAGGTTCCAGTGATTCTCCTGCCTCAGACTCTGGGGTAGCTGGGATTACAGGCATATGCCACCACATCCAGCTAATTTTTGTGTTTTTAGTAGAGACGGGGGTTTCACCATGTTGGCCAGGCTGGTCTCGAACTCCTGACCTCAGGTGATCCGCCCACCTCGGCTCTCAGAGTGCTGGGATTACAGGCGTGAGCCACCGCGTCAAGCCAAAAATGTAGTTAAATAGAATGAATAAGATCTAACATTTGATAGCACAACAGGGTGACTATAGTCAACAGTAATTTATTGTACATTTAGAAATAAAAAAGTATAACTGGATTGTTTGTAATACAAATAAAATATAAATGTCTGCGGTAATGGATATTCCCCACCCCCCACAAAATAAAACAGGTGAATTTTTATGGGTTAAAAAAGGCAGGACCAAGTGCACAGGAAGACCCCTCAGCCCCGTCTCCATGGGGAGGAAGCTAAGAAATTCACTGTGATTGAAAACCTTCTAAGAACCATAGGAAGGAGGGATTATCAGTCTCATGTTACTAAGGAGGAAACCGAGGCTCAAGGAGGTTTGAACTCCCGACCTCAAGTGAACTGCCTGCCTAGGCCTCCCAAAGTGCTGGGATTACAGGCATGAGCCACTGCACCCAACAAAGTGGCTGTGCTTTTTGCTACAGCGCAATGATACCCACTAAGCCCTACATCTGCTGAGATTTGGCCTAACATAAACAGCGTCTCTTCCGTGAAGCCTTCCCTAATTGCTCCCAGGACATTCCCTGCCTAGCAGTTCCCGTTGTAGGTTAGGTTACCAGGAGGCAGATTCTGAGATGGAGACGAGTGTGCAGATGTTTATTAGGGGATATTCTTGAGATAGATACCTGTTTGGGGAAGAAAAGGAAGCAGGATTGGGCACAGGGTTAACTTGGCTATGATGTCACAATATTGTCCTCAATGAAGCCTACAGAGACTGATAAAAGTTAGGTTTGACTTTCAGAGTTGTCCAGAGCTGGGACAAGAGGGAAAGGCCTTTAAGGCCCCCCAGTAGATGGACATTGGATATAGGCTGCCCTGAAGGGAGGGCCTTTCCCAGAGAGTGGGGCAAGCTGAAGTCCATCATCCAGTGGCACTCCAGCACTGGGGAGAGGGTTGATGGGTTCCCCAGCCAGGAAGGGGGATCTTGGTGGCTCATCACAGTGGCCACTGTGTGCCCAACATAGTTGCTACACATTCATGTTCATCCCAGCCTCTAACATCCATTTTCAGCCCCTGGGCCTAGGGTGGGGGCATTGGCTGGCAACCCTGGATTTGATGTCACATATTAATTCCATGCCCAGAATCATTTTAGCCTGAGGACATAAAGAGCCTCCAAGCCAAGCTCCCCCTGGAATTCCCCACACCTGCCTTAGCCCATACAGCAGCTTCCTGATGCTGGCTTCTCAGTGTCTGAGCCCAGGAATGCTGTCAGAGTGGCCACATCACAGCCAAGAAAGTCGGGAGTGGGAATGAGAGCTTTTGTCATTCAATTCATAGCATGGCAGGCTCTGGGTGAGCACATCCTGTCCACTATCTCATTCATGGTCACCACCTCCTTGCAAGGTGGGATCTTTTATGAGCCCCATCGACAGATAAGGACACTGAGGTTCAAAGACAGGAAGTTGCACATCTGGTCTCTCAGGCCTTTCTTTTCCTGTCTCTCTCTCTCTCTTTTTTTTTTTTGAAACAGAGTCTCACTGTGTCGCCCAGGCTGGAGTGCAGTGGCACAGTCTTGGCTCACTGCAATCTCTGCCTCCTGGGTTCAAGCAATTCTCCTGCCTTAGCCTCCTGAGTAGCTGGGATTAGACATGTGCCACCACGCCTGGCTAATTTTTGTATTTTTAATAGAGACGGGGTTTCACCATATTGGCCAGGCTGGTCTTGAACTCCTGACCTTAGGTGATCCGCCATCCTTGGCCTCCGAAAATGCTAAGATTACAGGCGTGAGCCACCGCGCCCGGCCATCAGACCTTTCTTTTCTGTAGAAAGCCTTGACTCCAAAATCCAAGAAGCATGACTGTGTCAGGATACTGTTTATATGAATCCTCCGTCATTTGTCCTCCAGAGAGATACTAACACTCCCCATCCCACCAGGTGAGCTGAGTCTGGGACTGCTTTAACCCTTTCTTTCCTAGAGTTAACACTGGCATGGGCCTGGGTGCTGCTTCCTGCTGGGGGACCTGGGGATTTGGGTCTTGTGGATGAGCCGGACACCCCCGCAGCCCTCTTCTAGCTTGATGTCCCCCTGCTGCAGGGCCTGCTGGATAGCATCAGCGAGAATGTCAAAGGCCAGGTCCACATTGCAGTTGTTTTTAACCGAGGTCTCCACGAAGGCCATGCCCAGGGAGGCAGCCAGCTCCTCGGCCTCCTGGGCCGAGACACAACGGGTGCTCTGCAGGTCACTCTTGTGGCCAACCAGCAGGAAGATGACCTTGTCTGGGCCCTGAGTGGCCATGACCTCCTGGTGCCAGTCTTGGATGTGTTCAAAGGACTTCCTGTTTGTCACATCAAAGACCAGCAGGACACCCACCACGTTCCGGTAAAAGGACCTGGTGATGCACCTGGGGAGGCAGAGAGGTAAGCTGGGAGAGACTGATGCCTTCATGACACCCCCAGAGGCAGGACCTCCTCCCCCTGGGATCCACAGAATGCCTCACACCCCAGCAGGGCTCACTTCACGCGGCCCTGTGGTTCTCTGCCTCGGTGTCTGTGTCTCCCCTAACAGTCTAGGAGTTGGCCGGGCGCGGTGGCTCATGCCAGTAATTCCAGCACTTTGGGAGGCGGAGGTGGGTGGATCATGAGGTCAGGAAATCGAGACCATCCTGGCTAACACGGTGAAACCCTGTCTCTAGTAAAACTACAAAAAAATTTGCCGGGCGTGGTGG